AAAATTGGAAGTGAGTTCAAAACCGACGATCCACAAATGTCACATGTGAGAGTTTCGACGTGCATACCCGGTTATGCACGCGGGCTGCAATGTGTTGATTACTGTAGTCGTTGCGGCATTATCTCTCACTAGTGCTCTTTTCGTATAGGCACATAATGGAAAATGTAAAGTGAGTTCGAAACCGACGATCCACAAATGTCACATGTGAGAGTTTCGACGTGCATACCCGGTGATGCACGCCGGCGGCAATGTGTTGATTACTGTAATTGCTGCGTCATTATCTCTCACTAGTGCTCCTTTCGAATCTGCATTTGATTGCAAATGTGTATTGCTGAATTGTTTCGAAAATAGATGATTATCTGACAGTTACGGAAATGGCGAAAGCATTTTGAAAAGAATAATCACCACAAACTTTATTCGGGTCTCAGGTTGGTGGGCTAACAGATTATTACTGAATGAGAACGTACATAAAGGGAGGCAAAGGCGGAATACATTGGTGTAAGTAGGCACAAAACTAGTGCGGGCAGCGCGACATACAGCGTAGTTGACTTACTATTATAGAATGGTCACATTTTCCTCCATTACAGTTAGGATATTTATAGTATTGTAAAGGGCGCTACTTCTTAGCAGATTCGGATACGCTTGTTACAGGCGACGTTCCGTCTTCCCAATCCCAATGCTCGTGCATGCGAATCTTTTTCTCTTCACGAAGCTAAATGGGAATGTTACAGGCGATGATCAGGACTCGTTGAAATGAATACTCTTGACATACTCCGTCGAGTAGACTGTAAAATTTGGAGTATGGAGGCGTGTCCTCAAAAACCATAGCATCAATCCATGTGAGTAGCATATTGTATTGAGGTGGTGTGTCACTGAGGAAATGCACTCGGCCTTCTCCTTCACGTGCTGCTGTTTTGGCCGCGAACACTTGCATACGGTCTGAAATAACTTCTGTGAGCTTTGTTCCTTTATGTCCAACAAGGGGGCCAGTCTCGCCGCTCACTGAGCAGGAAATAAAAGGCGCTCACTATTACTACTGGGTGTCACTACGGCTCTGTCATGTTGCCGGGCCTACAACTCAACTGTTGCAGTGCGCAATACTTTGTTCTGGCTTCATAAATCTCAGTTTACAGTGGAAAAGGTTTCATTTATTCTACTATTCGTTTTTGAAGATGGATTTGAGGCTATGACAAAATGACGCGAATGTCAGACTTTTGCGATTGGAGCGATTTTTGCCACCAGTTGCAGGAGGGCGACGATCGCTCCAATGCGAGCGACGGGAGATTTACCCGAGCGGCGCCGTGTGTATCGGTCGTCGGCGGGGTAAATCTCCCGTCGCTCGCATCTTTCAAGCGATCCGTCGCTCCTGCAATTGGTGCAAAATCGCTCCAATCGCAAAGTCTGACATCGGCCAATTGATGGCCTTCATGACAGGTCAGTTTGTCAATTTACAAGTCAGCGAGTACGAGTAGTGAGAGGCGGGGTAGACATCGGGGGAGGGGGGACATTGGCTGATGGCCTCCTCTTTTTTGAATGCCTCCATCTCTGCCCATCCCTGTTCAATTCCTTTCGGGAACCTCGTCTCCTTCATGATCTCCTCTTTTTGGCTCACTTTTTCTATAATTTTTTGAAGGCAGCGATAACGATAGGTTCTCGAAAGGGTTCAGTAAACGTGGATGTGGTGTTGTACGTCAAATGGTGAAGAAGCAGAGAAATTCGTCAAGAAATGAACAGGTAACCCCTAAGAGGCGGACGTATGGACGAGTTCACCGCAACGCGTTTGGTGGCACCATGCCAATCCATGCTCCAGTCGAGTTGCTCCAGTTGTGCCGCTGCTGGCAACACAGCTCGTCCAAATCACCAACTAAACTAGTGGGCGGATCGCTTTTGGGGCGGAGCGCTTTCGAAGTCCTGCTCAGCAACCAGCGCACCTTTCGTCGTGGAAGCGCTACACCTCGCTTCCTTGGCAGCCAAACTGCATAGCGGCTCCATCTGGTGCTCTTCATCTTGACGCGGCCAACTCAGTATACTCTTGATTGCTGGTTAATTGATGCTGTTGGGTGGTTATTGCTCTGCTAGCTGTCGAAACTGCATTTCTTCAATCAAGTGTGGTCAAGCAACGAAGCACTCAAAGCAGCAACTCCGGATCAAATTGGTGGGGTAACAACGGTCGGTGAAAAGTGGGATGGCGAGTCGACTGAAAATGAAAAAATTGCATAAGAATTGCCGATGAAGCCCTTGACGAGGGCCTCCCGCTTTCCCCGTCTTCCACAAAGCGACCCCCGTTCGCATTTTTCCATGAAATGGTCAACCTTGGTCACTCTAATAATGACCCCCTCCCCCAAAAGCACGAATACACCCCTGCGGTTCAGTAGTGCGAATTGACGGTAGATGCTTGTCATAACTGAATGGTCAAAGCGGTTGTTAGCATTGCATCTGTCGAGTTGACTAGCTTTAGTGAGCTTTTAAGCTTCGAGCTTGTACCTTGGAGCTTTCAAAGGAGGATTCCACGATAAGAATGAAAGTCGTAGAAGTGAAAACTGACCTAGTGAGGAGACAGACGGATTCTAAGGGTGTGGGTCAACCTCGCATCGAAGGATATGCCCCGGCGATCTAGCATGGCCTTCCCTTGGCGCAGTTGGCCGGAACGCCCACCGACTATCTAATCACTCGCCGCAGGTCTATACGTGGCGAGTGATTAGATAGCAGAGAGAGCGTAGCGTTGAAGAGGGCACAGCGATGAGAGTCGCATCAATGCGCAAATCAACGGGCAAGGAAGGGGTCCCATTTCTCGGGTTCGGGCCGTTTCTCATGGTTTCTTCTTCATCCCTGCTCCACTGACCACCTCTACCTTATTTCCAATGAGCTACTTTTCATCGTAAAATCAGCCTTTAACTTATTTTTGTTCTTCCTCAGTCTTCTCGATGCGACAGCAAAGGGGGTCCATGGAAATAGGTCACAAATCAACTATAGGCTCTTCTCTCGTAGTCTAACTGGCCATCCGTCCGTACTAGGCCCTACCAGCGGTGGGACATGTACGGTAGGCATTTAGACATGATCTATTTTGTTCTTCTGGTGAGTGGCAAGAAAGTAACCCTTGTATAGAATTGTCCTACCAGTGACAAGTCGCCAAGGCAGACTTCCCTTTGTGATTTCGATCAGCATGTAGAACCAGCTTTCGAGGTCATCTCTACGGCTCAAATCCTGAAAAGCGCATGCCTTATTTCCCATCTTTTGTTGGTGACACAGTGCGAGCATTTTAGAAAGTTCACCATTCTTCTATGGGCGACCAAACTTCCATACCGGGTAGTACCTCTCCATCCTACTTCTTTTCGAGATGGAATAAGATTTCTATTCTAAAAAGGATCATTTACACTAGGTCATAAGATACTTATGGGCGCTATAGCAAGATACAGGGGCGCTCTGACAACAGTGCATTCAAAACTGCGTCAAACATCTCCATTTCGTCAAAATCGAGACGAAGCTTTAGACAATGCAGGAGAGAAGTCCAGGTTTGTAAGCAATTTTCATTCCCCCTGAGCTCTTGGCCCTCTTATGCTTTAGTCCTAGAGGATACCCCCGTATCTTGCTATAGCGCCATTGCTCCTTGCTCATTTTTTTGTTACCTTATCCAGGTACCTTCTGGCGAGGCCAAAATCATACATGAAAATGATTTTTCCTTGTCGAGTTGCTTTGTGTCCTGGTGCGAAATTGCCCGGTTTGATATCGCGGGATATAAATCCAATGGAATGGAGTTCTTCGATAGCCTAAATATGGGAGAGTGTACGAATTGATCCAACGGTGGTGCATTTGCTCAGGACGCTGCACTTCTACGTAGCTCGAGATGGCTGTCTTTATATGGCTCTTCTTCCTATTCTGACTTAAAGGCACGGGTCACGATTGACCCTTGAAGAAATTCTATCCTTGAGTGACATACCACGGCCCCTTATCACAATAATGGTGGTATTGTCGCGACTTGAAAGCGCGCGACAAAAGTGCTGATACCTTTGCTTGACCGCTGCGACCGCTGCCACTTTTTTCAATCGCAGATGTGATGTCTGCTCTCGCACTTTCACGCTTTGTTTCCTCTCCTCGCACCGCGCTCTTTCTCTCCACGGCAGAACTCACGAGAAAAACGTCAGCGTTCTTCTCGCAAGAGAAATTTCGACATTTTCTGTGCTCTTTTTACTTTTTCCCCCTCTAACAATCCCCTTCAAAATTCTTGTTCAATTTTTGAACGAACAAAACGCCAATTTGATCGCGACCCGTGCCTTTGGGATTGGAATAAACAAGATTGAGCACTGCATTGGTGCTTACACTTACTTCTCTGACCCCACTAATCTTTTTTTTAGAACAATGAAGGGTTAAAGCCCCAGGTCGGACTAGGTTCTGACCCTTGGCTTCTCTATAGCTGTACTATCCTAGATTCTCCGAAGCTCACATTGAATGTTTGCATGGCTAGACGAAGCGCAGTGCTAAAGCTGAACTTCCTTTCTGGCATATCTGCTCTCAGTTTGTGAAGATCTTTATAGAGCAGCGTCATCGCAACATAGACGTAGTCCGGCTTGCAAGTGCCCTGAAAACATGGATTCTGAAGGAATTTGACTGCATGGCTGCGGAGATTTCTCACTCACGTAGTCGTATAACTGGCAGAAATGCTTGCATTTAGCGGCGTTCGCAGCTTTCAGCACGTTAACCTCAATGTGCAGCATCGACTTGCTATATTTTTCCGTCTTCACGGCGATGTTCCTGCTAGACAACGATTCCCTGATCAAATGGGGACCACCAATTCACAGTTTCAAACTCACTTCTGGGCGTTTTGACTGAGAAACACGGTACCGTATCCACCATCGCCAAGGATTTGAAGCAAACGATATCGGTTGTCTTCCGCTGTGATCTCGTCATTCACCACCGGTAGTCGATCGCGTTCAATAGTATGTGCGACATCCTCAGAAGCCATCCGGATGCTAAAATTTCGGCTGACCTAATATCTGAAAGTCGTCTGCCCCCCCCCCTCTTTATGGTCTCAGAAGTGGCCTCCACAGTGATTTTACACTCTCCCTAACCCGAGTCAATAGCCCCTCGTCATTGCCCTTTCTTGGGGTACGGTCTCATGCAGTTTGACAGACTTGTGAGTTGGTTAGACATATATTCCGCTTGGAGTAAAAGGCAAAGGCGTTCATGTCGTTGAGGAACGAGGAGTGGCATTCAAGTGACTGAGCCCATTACAGAACTTGTTAAAGGAATCTTCCACGGAAAAAGCTCCGCCCTCATTACCACAGAAAACGATACCTTAAAGGAATCTTCCACGGAAAGAGTGATCATTTTGTCTTGTGTGTAGGATTATTATCGAAACTAACGCTTATGTTCCGTTCTTTTTGCTATGCTCATGAGGCTAGGGCCTAAGGGGTATCGTTTTTCTGTGGTAATGGAGGCGGAGCTTTTTCCGCGGAAGATTCCTTTAAGCCTCAGCTGGAAGTCAACTGGGGGCGGATGCAAGCAGAAGTGTGATTCCTCGCTTAGCATTTCTTCCCTCTCATACGCTTAGTCTTTGTGTCACCTACCATCGGTCCTGTTTTGAATGTCTCATCGCCATCGCCCAACCCCCCTCCCTCCAAGACATGAACTTGGTGCCAAGTTCGCCGTTCAACACTTCCTAATTCAGACAGAAATGTTTCTTGCTCAGAACGCAAATTGCATCTTCCAGGCTGACAATTAAATGCTCATGGATCCGAAGTAACGGGCACCCCTGTTCATTGGTTAGTACCAAATTAATGCCGATCCGACAACTTTTCCAAAAGTTCACAACTTACTTTTGAACCGCCTTGATTGGGTGTCATATTTACCTCGGCTGTCCACAAGTGTCCTCTATCTATCCGCGAGTGGAACAATACTTCTCTCACAGAACTAACAAGGAGGGTCTTTCGGGTCATGGAGCGCTTTTCCGGTTACTTGCATGTTGTAAAGAAATACACAAAACTATGCCCATTTCCCAACACTTTCTGGGAACCTCAAAACCGTCATGAAGAGATGGTCCGCCGTGGGGACAAATTTTTGCAATCCATGTTGGAGCCTCCAAATTGTCGCCAAATCACGAGGATGGCATGTTAATCGACGCTGGTGCCATTTGGACACAATTTGGAGGCGCCAACATAAATTGCAAAAAATTAGACATCACGGAGGATCGAACTTTGGACCATCTCTTCTCCACTATTCTGACCTTCCTAGAAGCGTTCAGGAAAAACGGACCATGGTTTTGTGTTCCTCGCATGTCTCTACAAAGTGCAGGAAATCATTTTGGAAAAGCGCTCCATGTCCTGAAAGACCTCCCTTGTAAGCGTCTGTTTTGAGGTGTTCGCGATCTTTTTGTAGATTTTCTCGTTGGAACAGCGAAGCAGCGAAACAAACTGGTGATTGTTCTTTCGCGCCCATAATTATTGAGATCGGGGGAAAGCCGTAGGACCAAATCTCTGTAAGTATCTTGGCATTCCCTCGCTCGTGTGGGTTGCGAGCTGCTGCGCAGTGGAAACAGTTTTATGTATTGGAAGCCTCAACTTTGCGGTATCCGAGGCAAGTTTATCCAGCTGTAAGCAGTAGGTGTCTGCGCCAGCAGTGGTGGTATTGTTCGAAGTCTGTAATGAAGCAATCCTACAATCGGAGAGCGGAGCCTTACTCGGGTGAAGTTCATCTATTGAGGGCTGCTAGTTGCTGCTGAGCTGCACGTTCGCACTGATACCTCCGTAGGTTGCTTGGCTAGACTGCGCACTCCTCAACCCCAGTGACCCCTTGTCAAGCCGATCGAAAACAACGGCTTTTATGCAGCAAACTTTGTGAGATGATCACACGTGTCCTTCGAGCCACCTCGTCCAACTCGCGAGAATTCATCTTCCCACCGTGTACAATTTCTCCATGGATCAAAGGTGAACGACACAGTATAGTACAAGGACTGAGGGTCTACTGCAGTATGATGGTCACTGGTGCTGGGTTCCTTCAAGAAGCTCTTGCATGCGTTCAATATCTACGGTCATTGGGTGTCTGAAACGTGGTTGGACTTCATAGCCGTAGTCGCCTTTTCTTGCGGTCGAATTTCGTAACATAAAAAACACTAAGG